ACTGGGCCTGCTCCAGGATGTGGCCAATGAGACGTCGGGCATCTGCGATACGAGTGTCCTGCGCAAGCGGGTCACCTCCTCATATGGCCAGACTCTGCACCTGTCGTGCTTTGTGAAGATGCCAGAGGTCCTCAGGAAAAAGCAGACACGCTGGTATCATCACTCCACAGAAAAGGGACGGTGAGTATTCGAAATAAACCCTAAAGAATCCATTAGGATAACTGGTCTGCGAAGTCTGCCAGCCATGGCTATGGGAATTTTCTGATAAAAATTTCATTAAATGTTGACAGACATCAAGTTTTGAAAAAGATTTCACTGCGACAGCTACAAGATATGTAAACCCGATTCTATCAGTTTTAACCAATGCCAGAGTATTGATATAAAAGTGTCCTTGCTCTTGGGTTATAAAAGCCCTCATACCATTTTCATCTATCTGATTCGCGAGTATCCTGATTCGGGAAAATTGAAAGCGAATAATGGCGGGATGGGGGAAGTAAACGAAACGCCGCTTCATCTCACTTAGCCGTGCCAATGCTGCGGTAAATTGACACTTTAAAATGTGCTCCAAGTCTGCTTTTTGGCGTTTACGCCACTGCTGTTGCCTGATGTTGATGCCACCGATGCCACCAATGGTGGTGTTCAAGTAATGGAAAATGGAAAAACTTTCAACTTTTGGCTGGCGGTGCTACGGTGCAAAACCCGGGAAAACTCTCTCGCACTGTGTTTGTGTCTGTCTGTCGCGCGCACACAGTTTATATTGATTTTTATTGTGCGTTTCCAATGCGAATAGAAAATGAAATGAAAATCCCCAGCGCTATCGCAGCAGCCATCTCTATGGCCAATATCTCTATCTCCATCTCATTGTCTCCTGTTATCTCTTTCTCTTTCTGTCTGGCAGCTACGAGGTGCGCTACACGCCCACCAAATACATCGAAACAAACGAGGGCGGACTGGTATTGCTGGCGGTGAACGAGGGCGACGGCGGGCGGTACGACAGCTACTTGGATGGGTCCTTGCTCTGCAGCTACGGCGTGACGGTGGATGCCCACAGGTGAGTCAGCCCCAAAATTAGAACCCTCTGGCAGGCTCCAGAGCTGCCATCCGGAAATGGCGGAAAAACGGCTGAGGCAGCCATTAAAAATACATGAAAGTAAAATACTATGCTACTAGCTACTAAAAGACTATGATAATGATTCTAGTTCTTGTATAACTGAAAGCCTATTTTCTTTAAGAAAAATCTATAAACTTTTGGACCCTTCTCAAAAAATAGCCAACCCCTCAGCTCTGTTATTCTGAAACCCCAACCCCTGTAGCATAATTTCCGCCAAAATGTCAATAACTTATTGTTAAAATTTTCACTTCCTCTTAGATGCTCGCCACCGTCGCAGAAGCAGGACTATCAGAAAATCTACTCGCATTGGTGCAACGAATTCGAGAAGTACAAGTCGGCCATGAAGCAATGGCAGGCCAAACAGGAGGTGTGTATCCTTGGGAAATATTATTAAATTTCTGGATTGGGCGCCAGCTGCCGTTAATTGTTTTAATTAATTTTTCAACGTCAGGTGTGGGGGTTGCTGTTTGAGTTTTAATTATTTTGTAATTTGCCTGACAGAGATCTAAGTGTTTTTTGCCACCTCCCTGTTACATTTTTTATGTGTTCTATTATTAGCAATGCGGCCTCAAGGATAAAACAGGACCAACCGGCAGCAATGGCAAGCACGTGAACGACGTTTTCAGCAACGATGCCTTGGTCTGACCCAGAAGTGAGTATCCTTGACACGGTTAAAATAGAAATTTAAGGACTCATCCCATCACTCTATACCCCCCTTTCATAACCCAGTGCATTGAGGGAAAATGTGATTTTGTCATTGTTTTTTCTCAGTGCATTTCAATTATCATCACTGCCCCGCCATAACCACTAGTTTTAGTTTTGGTAGTTTGTAGACCCTGAAGAAATCTAACCGAAAATGTCCTTTGTCCATCCCCCCCTGGCCGCTGCCGATGTCCACACACACACAGAGTACTTGTACAGCTTTGAGTTTTTGTCGTCGTCATCGTCGGAGGGCGTGGCCAGCGCCCACCGCAAATTGTACATTTTCGTGTTCGTGCTTACCATATTTGGCCGCTTCTAAAGTTTCTAGTTAAAATGTAAATGTAAGTTGAGTGCCCATGTAAGACAGCCCACACTCTGTCCCCCCTCTGATTTCGTCCTCTGTATCTCCTATCCTAACACTAACAAATGTCACACTCGGTCTATAAACATATTTGCTTTATTTTGGATTATTTTGTTTGCAGGCGCCGCCGAGAAGCAAAACTAAACAGAGTAAGCACCCAAGACATCACATTGTGGATAACATCTACGGATATGCGACAAGGGCCTGAGCTATGGAAAAAATATAGGAAAAAAAACAGAAGAAGATGGAAAACCACTACAAAGACTGAAATTTTTAAGCTTTTAAAAATCGACAATATTTCCAATAATTTCAATGCGTTTTTTGGTCATGCTTTTGTTTTCGTTTTGAGATGTTGTCAGCGTCAAACTGAATGAATGATTTTCGACATTAACTAACTGAATATACAAAGTAATGGAGTAAACGAGAAAAGTTACTAACAAAAGGATCCTGCCATAAGTCAAATGGAAATTACGGTTTTACACTCAAAACAAATAAAAACAAAATGAAACTCTCACACATACTCAAGCATAGAAGACACTATTTCTATTTCGAGCTAAGGTTAATGATAATCTAACAGATACAGATACAGTTACAGATACGAAGTAAAGATACAGATACAGATGGAACTGCAACCACCTAAGTGAGAATCTGACCTAAGTATTAACCAAAAATTGTAGCTCACAGTTCATGAAGGCAACGATTTGATTTCGATTTTATTTTTGAATTTATTAAGTTTCCGAGAACTCGTCGCTTGGCCACTTTGGGTTTACGGTTGGGATGGTCTTAAACGAATTTGTATATTACTTAGCAATATTTGTTTAACTAATCTAGCATAAGCTATATATATATAAATGGATATATACATGAATATCAGCCCTTGTTTAGGTCATAGACGTGTACGGAACCAACCTATTACGATAGCCAAACCCCGATCAGAAATACATAGAGTTACGTATTAAACGACGCACACGAGGAACTTAAATATCGGCTATGGACTCAACATAGTCTAGGATTATTTGTACATAGTAGAGCATTAGGGGATAAGTTTTTAGGTTTTTACTCGGCTCCGATTTTGATTTAGAATTCTCTATTTGGCATTAACTCGCTCTTGTATAGATTGTGCGTTGGCCTAATGTTTACGATAAGCAATATATAGTTATATATATGGATATGCATAAATGTAAAACAAATATATATATAAATATAGTTACTGCATTGAGACCAACATGCTCATGAATACACTTACCCGTACGTAGCGTAGGTAAGTCGGTGTGGCAAATAAATAACAATGTTTTTAGTCGTATTGCAGAAAAATTCCAATTAAATACCAATATAGACACGACACGTCGTTGCATTTAGTGAATACCGTACAATATGAAATAACCACGAATTGGCGCTGAAAATCCCATTAGGCTGCCACAACGTTGCAGAAAATGATGGAAAAACTAAACGCTTCACAAAACTTCAAACAGAAATAGGTATTTGCCGTAGAACAAAAGATACAAAAATTGATAAAAAAAAAAAATAAATAAAAATGTGAAAATGTATGAAAATCTTCAACGCAACTTTGCAAACAAGCTCACACTTGAAATATTTTTCTAAAAGATTTTCTCGGCAAAATTTTTAATGTTTTCATCTTAGAACGTATCCAACAAAACAAACATTTTAGCATTGCTAATTGTACATGAAATAAACCAAAACCACAAATGAAGAAACTATTAAAAAAAAAGGAAAAATAAGTAAAGAATATTTAAAAGCTACTCCTGCTCTGAGCTTCTAACTTTAATGAATGAAATGTTTTTGCGTTGCCTTTAGTAGAGTTTTTTTGTTTATGAAAATTATTGTAAATAATTTAAAGATTATGTGAAATGTTTTGTATGACAATCACATGATGTTGAGTAAAAAACAAATAAAACCAAAACAAAAGAGGACAACAAAATCTCGGACAAAAAACACGCGAAAAAAGTGAATCAAATTGCCATTGCGGCAATTAAAGATGAGAATTAATATTAATTGAGTACTTAACGAACAATTCATTGTAAAAATATTAATAAAAGTGCATAAATATTCGCCGTAAATATATATATACATTAATAGATAAATGACTTTTACAAAGTATTCATACAATAAAAAACAAACAAAATTTGCGCTTAAATTAAATCGAATAATCCCCATTTAAGGTTCTATTCGGACGATTTCAAACGCAAATTGGATCAAGAGCTATCTAAATATTTCTGGAAAAATCAACAAAATCATTAAAAACAGAAAACGGAAAAAATTAAGAAAACAAATTAGGTGTAAACACATTAAAAGTAAAATGCAGTAAATAAATGTGATAAGATTCTTTAATAAGCAAAAATTTAAAGTGTGTTCTTTTATTGGGTGTGTACTGTTGGAGGGGAAAAGAACAAAGGAACCAACTACGGGGCTAATAAACTGTACTCAATGGAATTCGAACTCGAACGCTGAGAAGCTTTTCCTGCAGTTCAAGCTTGTTTATTTATTTTTCAAACAGAAAAATGTGCTTGAAAATAAAATGCGAGCTGAAAAATAAAAGCGATAACAAGAGAGCGCTACTAGAATTTTAAATATCTAATAGCGACTCTTAGATACTCTTTTTGACGGCAATGTATGACTAAAATGGTATGTAAAACTTATACTTTCTTATTAAATCAATTAAATAAAGGATTAAAAGCTAACACATAATAACAAATCATTGATTCATGAAAAATAATTATAAATTATTATCCAGCTAATGTACCTTTAGTTTTTAAGGGACCAGAAACATAAACTGTTCTTCAAATGAAACCTTACCCCAGAAAAAAATCTGATTAGTACTTTGAGAGCTTCTGAACAACCAGCAGCATATCGGATTGATTAAAATTTTAATAATAATATTTGTTAAAAAATGACACTTCAGTGGAAAATATTGCCATTTCTTTTCTATGGCTTTGCGGTTGTGGTGGGCCATTTTCGATACCACCGGAGTGTAAGATATTCCCCGGAACTGGTCAACGATTTGAGGGAGTTTGGCAAACTCATTCCCAGTGTCACCATCGATGAGCTTGTCGCCGAGCACATGATTACGGATTCCGGCTTTCGCAAGGCCATTAAATTTTTGCGCAGCTCAGATTTCAAGAGGTTCCGTCAACACACAGAGTCTCTGCCCGAGGTAGTAGATCTGATTAATTTTGTGCATCTCAATGACACGGCATCCGGACCTAGACAGTACCACAGGCGTCATTCAGACCGACACCGCCGCTGGGCGGAGGAGGTATTTGTGGTGCTTCTGGACGCAAACACCTTGGACTGGGAGAACTTGAGCTCTTTCACCAGCTTTGTGCAAGACGTACTCGGTCATTTGCCCCGAGATCGATTTGTGGCATTAATAAAGGAGAAGCGTCAAAATAGTGCCATTTTTGCAAAGTTTTATGAGGCCTTGAAAAGTGCAGAATTCAAAACAAAGGTCGAGGCGGCCTGGGTAAGCAAGGATGCATACTTCAGGGATAATAAATCTTAAACTCTAATTGAAATGTGTCCTTAACCCCCTTTAACCCTTCGATTTTAGAACACAGTGAACGTGCAGGGCGTCATACGAGAGCTGTCTGGACATGGAATTAATTCCCAGGACCTGAAGACCGTTGGCTTCGAAGTCCTCTCCTGGGGCCCAGCCTAGTGTGAGCCCTTTTTGTCATTGTAATCCAAAAACTCAGGTGTTTTGCGAGGTACTGCCGGAGTGGCTTTTTGGCCGTAGTTGTAGGCAATAGCCTCTCCAAATATGTGGCTAATGAAAATTCCAGTTACGATCCATTCATGCCAAAATTCCAACCGATAAAAGATAGCCGGAAAATGCAATAAAACAAAAAAATGAAGAGCACAATAAAACGACTAAGCAAATAATTCAATGTGACAAAGGGAAAACCGACACGGGATGCCGGGTTGCATTTCATTTGTCGCATTGATAAATGGAATGGAATATCATGCTTTCGCTCAGACGCACACCTGTCAAAGCCAGGCCCATACAAATACACTGGTGTATATATGCACCCACCCTACACACCCATCTACACCCAAACACTATCAAACACTCATGCAATTTAATTTGTCTGCATTTTTGTTGTGGCTGTTGTTCCTACCATTTTATGGTGGTTGTTTCAATTATTTTATTGTTGTATGGCTATAGTTTCGAATGCAGTCACAGGAGAGTCATCCAACCAGCCAAAAGTACACAGAAAAAAATTAGACCATAAAAGGTTATTCCTTAACGAATTATAGATTCACACATTACATACATACTTTACCAAGAACAGCTCTTTGTTTTAGCTTACCTAGCTCTATTTTAACTCATATTATACCTAGAACCTTTATCCATTTTTTTACAGTGTAGCAACCTTCACAGAAGTGCCTCACGCACACCCATACCTGCCACACACACACTCGCTTGCAACACAGCATGAGTTGACACATGAAAATTGCATGCAATTAATTGCCCGCTGGCGTACTTGTACTCCGACTTTGGTTCGAACCGAAATCAATATGCAGACCGGCCAAACAACTGTTATTAGACATGATATGCCATGCAATTTTCCCCCACCCCTGGGCCCTCTAATCATGCTCTTAGTTCTAGTTTAGTTGTAGTTTAATAACGGTGCCATGGTAGATAAGTACAGGTCCTAAATATGAAGCTTGTAGTAATTCTGCGACTCCGAAGTGGCAATGTGTCGGTCCTGCATGCAATAGACCTCTGCTACATCCTCTGCGACATTCTCATGGTCGTATCGATGTTTTTTGATATATTCCAGGGGGTTGTCCGGTCGAGGCGACAAGGTGGCCAATCCTCGTCGAAACGAATGACTAAAAACGGCCTCTGCAATCTGCAGGCTGATGCACTCGATCTTCCGCATTGGCGGAAAGACATTTCTCATTTTTAGGTCGCAGGGCCATACCAGATTGGCCAGCCGGTCGGCAGCCACGCAGAAAATTTCGTCCGGAATGCGGTTAAGCCCAGCCAGGATAATGCCACTGCTTATCCCGGCCATCAGATATTTGCTGGTGCAGAAGCCCGGCTGGTACCACTTGTTGGCGTACTTGAGACGCGGCCGCGGTGATCCCGAGATGAACGTGCACCGGCCCTTGGTGTAGGAGAAGGCGTCCTCGGCTGTGCACTCCGACTTGCAGATGGGTCGCGACATGGCAAAAATGATCGGGTGCTGGTTACTCCGCTCCATTGCCCTCAGAACATCTGGAGTAAAGCTCTTGGGCAGTCCGCTGCCACCCACCAGAACATTCGGCTGCAGAAAGTCGATAATCTCCACCAAGGAACTTAATTGAGGGCCGGGCAGGGAAAACTCCGCTAGTTCCTCCGGAATGTGCCCCCTGTCGTGGACAATCAAGCCGTCGGCATCGCAGAACCAGACTCTCTCGTGGGCCTTCACATCATTGTAACCCTCGCGCTTAAACAAGGCGATGCACAGTCGAGCCATTCCAATATTGATAGTCTCCGACCCGAAGAAGAGGAACTTGTTCTTGAAGAAGGGTAACCGGATATTTCGATTCGCTGCAATCACGCCGGACAGAGCACAAGCGGCCAGGCACTGCAAATCGGCATCCATGAGGCAGCAGCGATCGCGGTAGCGCTCCAGCTGCTTAAGGGCGCACTTGGAATCGAAGTCCTTGGCCAAAATCAAGGCGCGGGCTCCGTATTGCCGGAGAACCGCCAGTGTGAACTCCTCGAACAATTTTTCACAAATTTCTGGGGAGGCCCGGCGTTCCTTTATACCTGAATAGGTAGGAGTGTTCAGCAGAACCTCGTTGTTGGTGCCCATATCCAGGATGACACTCAGGCAGTAGGCCGGATTAATCCCACCGAAGACGACGTTCTCGTGCATTTTGCAGAACAATATGGACATTTCATTCACACCCAAGTCCCCGTGACTAAGGACCGATGCCCCATTGCTAACCAGGATACATCGAACCATTCTGTAAGGCCAATTGGCTAAGATCTCATGGACATGGCCAAGGTCCTTTATGGTGATGAACAAACCCTGGCCATAGTTGTAGATAAGACTGTGGAAGCTCACCAGATTCACAGTAATCGTGGCATCCACCATGGGTAGGTACTTGTCCGGATCACTTAGAAGGATCCTATAGAATAGTCGCATATTCGTCCGCATCAGTTGTGTGAGAAACATGTACCTTTGCATTTCAGATGTTAGAAAAGTATCCATGGCTACCTGGCATGCCCTGACCTGGTCATCTATGGTACGAGTGGCCACTGGCAGGAGTCCGTTGATTCTGAGCGTCCGCCGCTCCTTTAGCGTAAAGGCCATACCTTTGTTGTACAGGGAGCTGGCCATCTGGTACCCGCCACTGATCCTGCTCTGCGGAACCGCTGTGTCCGTTCGCCAGAAGGTGTCCATGTGGCGGGGCATGCTGTCTAGCATCCAACTCTTCTCCGAATCGCGCTCGCACTTAAGTTCGTCATCCCCCTTTTTCTTTGTTTCGGCCGTGCAATTGTTTTTCCTTGGAGAGTTCATGCTGGTGTCCTTGTGGATGTGTGTGTCTATATATGGGCGAGTGTGTGGGTGTCGTGGCAGACCGCACCAGACCTGAACCTATATTGACAATGACAAGGACACTGAGGTAAAACGAAAAGCAGCTGTGAATCCCTCGCATATTTGATTTTAGAATTATAACAACCTGGTTCTCAGTGTCTCCATCGATGTAGGTGTCCCTTTCATTGCCCCACCGCATACTCATCCACCGCAACTATGGTACATCCATTCGTCCCACCGGGCATTATGCAAATTGTGTTGCGCACTTTGCGGCGACCTCAAACTCGCAGTGACATCCTAAAATGTCGCCACTTCCGCTACGGATCTAGCTACCGCCCCCTTCCTCGGCCCTCGCCGCTCTGGAGCTGAACAAGTTTGTCAGAATTTTGATGCAAAATATCAACAATGACGAGGGGCGGGGCAGCGGAAACATCAAAAGCCCAAGACCTCGCCCAAGACTTGGCCGCACCTTTTATGCTAAATACGCGGCGACAGACGACAGACGACAACACAGCCATTTGTGGCGAGCACAAGTGCACTTGGCCAGCGGAATCTTAAGTGGGAATGGCAACCGAGTAATATTTTGGCCCCAAACCCAAAGGGGCAGGATGGCAGCATCATCGCTGAGCATTAAAAAACAAAAGGGAACGAATGGCCCGACCGTAAGCGGCTTAATTTCCTGGGTCCCCTCCAGACTGGGAGTCGGCGTCTGGACATTTCCCATCACCCTCAGCTCCCATCTCGCCTTACACATTCCGATAAGACTAACTGGGGGATACAAAATTTAAATACAGCACAAAAATTCCATAACTAATTGGAACTGGAAGTGAACAATACACACTAGAGGACAAGACGGGATGCCAGGGTCTCGAGTCCAGAGTTCCAACCTTTCGGAATCCAATTATCTACTGAGATGCACAAAACTAGTGGTGTGGGAGGGTTTGGTGTTTCAGGATATATTATGACCAGAGTCTCGGCCTGGTGGTTGAGTGCTGAATGCATCACAAGTTCATAATGAAATCAATTTTCAATCAATCGTACGAAGAGCCAACTACGACACAACAGAAAAATATATCCAGGAACTCAAGAGCCAAATAAACAAAAATTTCATATTTTAGAATGGTAGGAAAATGGTTAAAAATATAAATATTTGCATTTGATATATTTGTGATATATTGGATTTAGTTTACAGAGTATTAAAGCATATATCTTGATGTTTTCAGTGTAAATAGTATCAGCCTGAATGTGTTTTTCTCATTTTCTCCAGGGGGGACTTTTCCTCTTGTTTTGTTTCACTTCGATTCGCTTTGGTTTGGCTCCCTGCTCCTTGGCTCCTGGGTCCTTGGCCAGTTGGACATTTGCACTTTTTTCACATTTGCAGTTTACTCTGCTGACTCTCTTTTTTTTACCTTCGCTTTCTGGCCACGGATGTGCTACAAATTGAATTTCTGCCGCGGGACACATTAAGCGATCGCCTGCCTATGGCCTTTGGCATTTGGAACATAAAAATTTATGAGCTTCGAAAAGGATCGAAATGGAATGGAGGTGCTGCAGGTGCCATCCTGCTCCCCACCTTTCCCCCCGTGATTTTACCTGACCCTACTTGCCCCATCACTACCCCGTTTCTGGCCATTTCCCTGCACAAAGAATGTTTATGCGTCGTTTATACAGAACAATTTGAATATTTTATGGACAAAATTCGATTTCGGCTCCCTCTCGTCCAGTACGTGCACTAAAAAAGTTTTGCATATGGAAATTGATTTCCTTTGACCAGACGACACACATACATACATCCATGTCCATGCGGTATGGGAAAAGTTTTCGGGAAAGTGTGTGAGCTGTCCGAGTGTCCAGTTTTTGGCCATTCACACGCACGCTTAGGCAATGGCATCGGCCAGGACTCTGGTCATTTCGATGCTTGACTATTCCGGCAGTTGTCAAACACAAAAAACTGACGGCGAGCGCAAACAAAAAAGAAGTAAAGTAATTTGCACCTCTCCGGTTAGACGTTTATGTTTTATTTTGAATAAAAAAAGCGAAAAACCTGGCCATTTATATGCGTCACATGACACTCTGGCTGTCATTCATGTCGCCCACCGGCCACATTACGCATACGCTACGTGGTCCAGGCATCTTATTATTAAGCGCTAGGAAGCTATATTTTGGCCATGGCCAGGCCACAAATCAAATGAAATAAACTCCATATGGATTTAGACACATTTCCAATAAAAGCTAAAATATTTGAATGGCTAATGCAGAGCGGCGGGTGACATAAAAAAGTGGTCGAAATAGTTCCAGTTTATCAAATATTTTGCATCGCGTGTCGTTGCGCTGCTGCAGTTTGGCATTTTTATTGAAATTCTGTGCTCTTTGGACGTTTAATGAAATTGTCACACTATTTCACAATTTTTGGCATTAACTATTTGGATAATTTATGGCCCCAATGGGTTGCGAGATGGAGTTGGAGCTGGGGCAGGATTTGGAGTGGGATTCTGTGTACATGAGAAATTGGAATGCTCCTGGCGGAACTCAAATAAATGTCACATGACTGTCGCTGGTGTTGCTGTGTTTGCTTTGTGCCCGAGGCTTGCACAAAACGGCTCAAAGTGAAAAGTCTTAAATACAAAATTTATAAGCTTAATAAAAGCGTTGCAGCAAACGCGATAGGGAAGCAGGATGAAGGCTCCTCTGTCGATTCCTTGTTGTGCCACGTATTTATATATATATATATATATATATATGTGTGTATATAGTGTACATATTGCGAGCACACACGACAAACTTTCAAATCGGGAGCTACGTGCGTCAAAGCCAGAAAGCCCCAACTTTATATCGCGCTCCCCTCACTCCGCTTTTACTTTGGCAACTTCAAAAGACTTTTAGCTTATTTTTTAAGTCGCCATTTTCGTTGGTGTGTGATGCTGCTTTTTCTATTTCATTTTATTTAATTTTATTTTTCTTTTGGCCAAGTTTTGTATAGCCTCTGGTGTCGTTGCCTATTTAACCGGAATGTTGTGTGTTTTATTTAGTTTTTGGCTAAATTTGGCCAAATCGTTTTTGGGCAAAAGAGTCGGAAACATGGCATAAATATCTAAAAACGAGTACAGCCCTCCACGGGCGGACATTCTGAATTATGTAATTAACTTGTTGCACGCTTGTTGCAAAATGGAAGAGCAAAAACTATTCGCAATCTGGACAAAACTAATCGCATGTATCCGGCAAATAATTCCGCCGCAAACGGACCCGTATTAGTGGCGAATTAAAGGAGCCATAAACACGAAATCAGCGCATGCGAAACGCTCCCAAGGAGCCAAGTCCGCATAAAAATTGTTAACGGAAGCGAAAATTAATTAAGCCACAGGCCAAGGGCAAAGCACGCACTGCCACGCGATATGACAAAGGCGGTAAAGGAGGGCGGCGGTGGCCAGAGATGGTGGAAAATCGGGAGGAAAATCGCTGGCCGGCCATCGGAGGCTGTGCCCGTTCTGCAAAAATATTGAACTCCTGCGAGAGACCGTAACGCGCTTTTAGACGTGCTCAAATATTTGCCAAACGTGTCAAAAGCGCTGGAACACTCACCGTCAGGACGAAGGTTCCTACCCAGCCCCGCCGCGCCTCCCAAAAACACCATCCCGCCACTTGACAGACCGCCTGCCACCAATTGATTGAAGATTGAGCCGGCCGGGGCAGTCAGGAGCTGTCGAGAAAACGACCTGTGTGTAAGGACATAATTTCTGTTTTTGTTATGGTTTATTGACATCCTGCGAAATCAAAGCCAAAACCCAAAATTGATTGACAACTGACGGCGACAAGTCGGAGAGGTTAAAGTGCAAATCCATGGATCTGACCTTCTATAAATGGATCTGAGGTGGATGAAACAACAATACAGGAGTTCCAAGAAGAGATTGATTTTTACGTGGGCTTTTTTGTGTATTTAGTTTATAAAAAGAAAAATATTGGCAGATTTCGTTAATCCTTGATCTGTTTGGGACTTGCTGCTTGTTATTCAGTTAATTAAACAGGACTTGGAATTTATTTATCCTTGAAACGATTGCCTGAAAGAAGTCCCCTAATAAAATAAAGTCATTTGAAAATGCTTTAATTTCCGAAATCAAAGTGGTAAAGGGAGAAAACATTAAGTGCGAAACAGATTACAAGCACAAAGCTGCCAGGAGTGGGGCAGGACGAGGCAGAGCAGCTGAGCAGCTGAATCTGGGAAGAAGGAAGTTTTTGGGGACAGGCCCTGGCCTGGGCCGCCTGGCAAGGAATCGGGCCTAGACAAGTTAATTTATGGCAGTCAGTGAACCATCCCAGATACTACAGGCACCGTCTGCTGATGCCACAACTCAAAGTGCTCCCTGCAACCCCGCCCCATCCAGCCATCAAGCCATCCTGCAATCCCTGCAATCGGATTGGCTTCCCCCTTCAGAGCTGCTCCCATTTCTTGGCGGGGTTTTTTTTTGTTTTCCTGCGCTGCGGCTGTTTGTGCGAAAACTTTTGCTAATTTGCGGTAATGTTAATGCTGAACTTTGCACAAAATTAGTCAAGTTCTTGGCGCGGCTCGAGTCGGCGCTGCGCTGCGGATTAAGCGCCATGTTACGCCAAAAGTGTTAAGTTGGAAATAAATGTTGACACTTGCGGTAAAATGGAGCTCTTATGCCGCAACATAAACAAAAGGCGCTTGGCCAAGTAAAATCACTTTAGGCCAGGAGTGGGCTGTGGCGGAAAGGGGTTATGGCCAGGCAGCATGAAATTAACCCGCGAGTGGTGTGTTCAAACTGAATCCTCTCGAAAGTATGCAGCCCGTCGTCTGGCTTCCTCAGTACCCGGCTCCAACATCCCGGTTTCAGGCTTCCAGGTCCCAGGTGCGTGTGTACCGCTGACTTGGCCGGACTGCAGTTAATTAAGTCGCAAGGCAACTTGGGCGCCAACGCCACCTTTGTACGAATACTCGTTCTCTAGTACCTTTATGGCAGCTGAGGTATGCCAGGACCTCGCTGAAGTATTCTGCTGTGGCGAAATTAATTTATAAGTTCGGTCCGTTCTAAGGTCACTGGAAGAAACGGATAATAGGATAGTAGGAGGTTTCTAAATAAAAAGGTACAAGAATGTTGTTCTTCTAAGAGAGTGGCGTTAGTAGTGGAGTTTCTCTATAAAATATAATTTCTTTAAATCACCCTTTTCCCAAAGTGTAGGATAACTTTCCCGACCAATTGTTTACGGCTCAAAAACCGACACCGGCAAAGTTTACACCCTCAAAACTTTACGCCCCAAATTTATAAAGTGTCATACGTTATAGCCCCAGCCATAACCCGAACCTGAAACTGAGGCTCCTGGCCGCCCTGGTCTAGGCCAAGTTTTAATCAAGTTGGGGCTTAGTCAAATAATTTATGTAAAAAATTGGCCCGCAACTAAAGTTTGGCCTGCTGACGTTGACAACGATACAATTATTGGTTTGTAGGCAGAACAATTTACAAGCTATATGGGCTGGATGGGCTGTAGTATGGTCTGTGGGCTGTGGGCTTGTAATAAATCAAACCAAGTGAATAAATCATATCTGAACAGAGAATGGAGAGCACACGGGCAAACATGCAGGGAATATAAGTACATATCACTGTGGAGAGTGTCACAGTTGACACATGCGAAAGTGAACGGCAAACGGCGACGGCGACGACGACATGAAATAATGACATGAAAATTGACAATTTTATTCCTACTTAACTTGCTGAATGAGCAAATGAATATATCAACTGAGTGCGAGTGCGAGTGCGGGTGAGTGTGTGCCTATTTGAGGGTGTGTGAGTGTGGAGACATATGCATGTACATATTTTATGCACAGTTTGACAAGCGAGCGAGCTGGAAACGAGAAATCAGACCTGAATGAACGCCTGAACAGCAGAACGGCTGAACGGCTGAACGGCTGAGTGACTGAATGACACATACAGTGACTAACCGAGTGACATTCCAGCCAGCTGTCAAAGTGTGAATATCATACTCACACACACACACACAAACGGCCAAAACACACCCACACCCTTGGGGGGTGGTGTGGTGTTTTCTTTGATTTGAATTTGCATTTGGCGGAAATGCAGTTGGCCGGCAGGAAACCCGTCTCTATTCGAATAATTTACGAGCCAAGACCGCGGCTGTGGGCCAAAGGCATGTTTTATGGCCCAATCGAAGCTATTGATAAGCGTTATAAATCATTATTTTATGCACTAGGGCTACAAGATGCACTGCGAGTAAAAATAAGATACTATTTTAAGGGAAAGTGTAGGCTGCTAATATCTAATGACAAAAGATGCCTTTTAAATTCTTCTCTAATTTAAGCTCTAAATTTTTATACCCTTGCAGAGGGTATTATAATTTTGGTCAAAAGTGTGCAACGCAGTGAAGGAGACATCTCCGACCCTATAAAGTATATATATTCTTGATCAGGATCACCTCCTGAGTTGATATGAGCATGTCCGTCTGTCCGTCTGTCCGTCTGTCCGTCTGTCCGTCTGTCCGTCTGTCTGTCCGTCTGTCTGTCTGTTTCTACGCGAACTAGTCTCTCAGTTTTAAAGCTATCGTCTTGAAATTTTGCACACACCCTTCTTTCCTTTGCACGCAGTATATAAGTCGGAACGGCCCGGATCGGCCGACTATATCCTATAGCTGCCATATAACTGATTGATCGGAAATGGTATAACTTTGGTGTTTTCAGAGTTAGAGAGTTTAAATTTCACATGAGAGCTATTTTTGGCAAAACATTACGACATGCCAAATATCATAAGGATCGGCCGACTATATCCTATAGCTGGCATATAACTGAACGATCGGAAATGACCCAACTTTCGCGTTTTTGAAGATAGAAAGGTGGAATTTAGTACAGATTCTATTTTTGGTCAGTTGATCCAACCTACTAAATTTCATAAGGATCGGCCCACTATATCCTATAGCTGCCATATAACTGAACGATCGGAAATTACCAAACTTTTGTGTTTTTGAAGATAGAAGTTTGGGATATTTTTAGGTTTGGTTTTTGTATTATATTAAATTGGGTTATATTATCATATTTTCATAAGGATCGGCCAACTATATCCGATGTTTGCGATATATATCCGGTTTTAACTGCAAGGGTATATAAACTTCGGCTCCGCCCGAAGTTAGCTTTCCTTTCTTGTTTAAAGTAATATTTTAATTTATAATTAAATTCAAATTGTGAAATATTCTTCCCTAAGTGTGAAAGTGCACCCACGAGTTCATATCCCACACCCATAGCTCAGTGTGTTTTTGTCGAATCAACGCCACTGATTAAATTAAATAATCGCCCGGAAAAACGATTGCGAGAGCCTCCTCGAATGGTCTCCAAAGTAGTCTCCACAAGCCGCAGACAAAAAAGACCGTGAGATTTGTTAGCCAGAAGTCCGGAAACTCTAGAGGAGATCACATCGCCGCTGCCATGAACCACCTCCACCTCCTAGTTTTTGTGATTCTCTGTGCCGTTGGCATAGCTCCCTCAATGGGTCGCCCCAAAAGCGAGGAAATCGTGATGGTGGAGGATATAATACGAACGAATAGTGGAAAATCGGAGGATAGTAGCGTTGCCCTGGTCACCCTAAGTGAATCGGCCAGCGAGGAGAGCGACGAAAGCGGTCAAGCCAATGCCTCCGATGACCTGATCTTCCCCACTCGAAAAAATCAAAGTAAAAACGAGGACAAAGCCCACATAGACTTGTCGTCCGTCGGGGAGCCCAAAGTGGAGGAACTGCCAAAGGATCTGACTCCGGCGAATCAATCCATCGATCTGAGTGCCTTTGTGGCGCTAATTCCCGTGCAGGAAGTTCAGTCCATAGCGGCCCATTATTACCACCACGACGCGGAGGTCCAAAGGGCATATGCATTCCTCTCTAGTAGCTATTTTTCGGACATCAAACAGCAGATTTTGCAGCTGCCAGAGGTTGTGGCCTTTATGCGGTACCTCAATGCCACTGGTTTTGATGTCCTCAAGGTAGTGCAGTCTGTGTCGGATGCGGCGAAGCCAGGAGTATTGGATTTGGCAGCATCCAACGGTGCGTATACGTAATGCCGTATGTCTGGCTTCCATATTTGAGGTTCAAATGGAAAGGCCGTATTTTTTTGAGATTCTATGCTAGATTTATGCCCTCTAGAATCCACCACATCGAAGGCTAACGAAGATGGCAGCACCACCACGCGGGAACCACTCAACGGCCTACACGGCCTTGTGGACAGTATCCTGGACATCTTGCCGCAGGACCAACTTCTGGCCACCTTTTTCGACAAAACCGAGAGCGACAAACAATTCGCAGCATTCGTCGACAGCATAGGCAACCCGAAATTTGCCAAAATTCTGATCGGTCTTCAGGTAAGTTGGGAAAGCCAGAAACCATTCCCCCATGTGGTAATTGTATTTCAGTTTTGGGGGACACGCTTTGTTTGCCACAAGTCCCCAACTCCCTTTTCCGATACACTCTACACTGTGTATGTGTGTTGAAAATTGTTTAAAAAATTCCATTTGAAATGGCCGTCTTTGAGTCGCTGGCTGCGCCATAATAATTTCCCACCGAGACGTGAGAAAAATTTTCGATTGCTTTATTGAGTTTCTTTTGGGGAAAAGGTTCAGGTTAAAAGTGGGCAACTTTTATATGCGATTCCGTATACAAATCAACTTCCGTTGATGCCTCAGAATTTTCAAGTGCCATAGCGTTTTTCCTTTCTTTTTATATATTTTTTTCCTGGCTCGATTTTGGTCTCGTCCCCGGCACCGGCCTTCTAATTGGCAATTGAGCTGGCCTACGTGAGGTACATATTTATGAAATCAAATCGCCAGCGCCAGCCAGCAGGCAATTTATATTTATTTTCTCCCAGCCCCAAACTCATATATATTTATCAGCAATTCGATGGAGTGTGTTTTTGTGATAATTGATTTCGCCGCACTGATTCCGTTCTCATCTTGCCACTTTCAGACGTCTCTGACACTGCGAAATCTTCTATTTGTTCTACACAACAATAGTATCTACGTGGAGCGCATTGTGGAATCATTGAAGTCATACTTTTTCCTATCTAATTTTTAGTTTTTAATAAAATACATCCTGTTAAGACATTGGAGTTGTTTTTTTTATATAATTAGCTATTAAGTCTGCATCATTTTCTTTTCTTCTCCTTCTTAAAGAATCTTTTTTTTCACTTCATATCAGTGGTATCTTAATTTAACCAAAAACCAAAAGAAAAATCAATGAAAAGAGGAATTATTTAGCAGGGGGTAGGACACTCCGGGGAATTGACATTGCCAAAAGAAACTTGGGCATATTAATAACATTTCCTGCAGAACGTCGGCGCAAAAAGAGGGTTAAATGACGTCAAAAGTTTATCTACGAAAAAAGTTGCCACGGCTGTTGGTCCTGATTTATGCCGCCGAATGCCAGGAGACGCCGCTCCTGCCACCTCCCGGCGCAACGCAACAGTTGCAACTCTCTTAATGTCGGCGTTTATTTGAATAAACTCCAACTTTGATTTCACAGGCAGCGAGCACGGCAAAAAGTTGCAAACTTTTTCGGTTAACTGATTTCCACACAGACCTACACCTGCAGCCTCCCATTTGGGCCAAACGCAAAAACACACAAAAAAAGAATAGAAGCCGGGAAACAAAAAAAATTATTTTGCTCTCGCGCCCCCCAGGAGACTCATAATTTAGCGGGAGTATATCAATAAATTACGCACACTGCAGCAGGTGGAGAAATCCAGGGATCCCGGAATGTTACTCGGGGGGTTGTTCGCTGCCAGAGATAAAAGTATTGAAAAAGTATCCAATTAACTGCGTAGCTATGATGCAACTTTGACCATTTCGTCTCCGCCCCTTTGGCCCGAGCCCTCGTGGTGGCTGTAGCCCCGGGGTCTCAGGTTAAGTCACCCTGCTGCAAACACGCTACAAGCCCGACATAAGGTGAACGTCAGCCATCAAGAGGCAGACAGCAGGCATCAGGCATTCGACATCAGGCTCCATTAATCAATTACAGACCAGCCCCGAGTATTCATCCAACCATAACCCATTCCAGGACCTCACTTGCCAACTGTTACTATGCATGCACTCGAAACAAAAAATCAAATTATTGGCCAAGTCTTTCAAATCATGGATCATGGTCAAGGGAATCCCGACAACATTTTCAAAATTGTTTTCTTTTATGGAATGTCAGAATTTTCTGTCACAAAATTTGTATCTGCGTAAAGCGGCGAAAATTCCCAAGGGCGTTACCTTAAGTCGTTAAAAATTATTTTCGCCAAGTGCGTACCAGGACGAAATCCAATCTCCTGCAACCAGTTCCGGCCAATCATCCGGCCTGCCACCTGTGCGACACACTTCATTCGATTGCCGAGATTGTCGAAGGCTTAGATTGATGCCCGACGGCTTGCCGAAAACTCTGCGAAACATTTTCAAAATTTTAGTCTCTAAAGGGATTTAAGATCCACGTCGTTTAAAAGCTCGCATCCAGAAATGACGCTACTTAGCTGTCCGGCCCCTGTGGGGCTCAGCCGTGCCAAAAATAGTACCCACTCGCAAACCAATCAGTCCATGAAGCGGATCAGTTGGCGGAGATTGATGTCGGTGCTGCCCCAATCGGTGGTGCTGCCGCTGGGATATGCCCCGCTGGCGAGAGCGCCACTCGACTTGAAGAGCCTCTTTTTGGTCCAGAGGCGCCTCCAGGAAGACCTGCTGGGCTGTGAGGCTCTGTGGACCATGTTTGTGGCTGCCGCGCTCAGCTATCGCTACAAGACCCGCCTTCGACCATTTCCGAGAAGTTGCCAGAGCATCGATCACCTGTGCCGCGTCCTGGCGGATGTGCCCAGGCTAGAGACCCTCCATGAGAATCTCCTACTCTGCGACTACCAGTCCTGTACCCCAAATGTGGTTCGCCTGCTGTCGGATGTCTTGGTGGATCAGGCCGATCGGGTGTCCTTGACCTCCCTGCGTCCCAGGGAGTTCGAGGAGCTGTACAACCACCTAGGCATGCCCACACCCGACCGTGCCCCCACTCAAATATTCGAGGTGCGATCCGGGAAAGAGAATCGACGGGCGGCGGCCTATAGCCTTTTGAGCAAACAGAAGAAGGAGTGCGTCCGACTGGGTTTCTGTGGCTGCCCGCTGGAGAAGCTGTACGCTCTCCTCAACGCCGAATGCCTGCCCGAAGGCAAGTACCTGGAGCTGACTAGCGATGTGAACGAGGCACTGTCCCGGAGCAAGCCCCAGGCGGGACTGGGTGGCTCCCTGTGCGGTTCCATAATCCGGTGTGTGGCTGTGGTGGAGTTTGTGTTCCAAGGCAACGAGACGAGTCCGGACAAGAGACATGTCATCGTGCGTGATGCGGATACCATGCAGGTCTCCTACCTGATGATCTATGGCCAGAGCTGTGAGGAGCACGAGGCCGAGATGGAACTGATGACCCTGCCGGGTCGAAAGCTAATCAATTGGATTGGCAGCTTCGAACAGGATGCCCTGTCCGTGGGCGTCGGCCTGCTGATAGTCTCCTCGATGGCACATTTCGGCAGCAGCTTCTTTCGACTTTTCGCCCGCACTGGCTTTCACATCCTGAAGCGAGGATTGCTGTGACAACTATTATTTGCTGGCTATGTCCGTGTCCATTCCCTGTGACCTTCGACTGTCAAGAGGATTTTTATTACCGACTTTAGTCTGTCGATTTCACAAACTAAACTCGATAAAGAATAAAAATCCTTTTGCCAGTTGCTGGCACAGGCGTCAAGTTATGTGCGAAATGAAATCGATCTGTGTTGAAAACATTTTGCAAGGATTTGATCTTATTTCCAGAAAGGATAACACGGACAGTACTGGGGGAGGAGGGGCGGTCCGACAGTGCCCACATAAATAACAACAATTTAGCATTCACAAGTGACGCAGTAAAAATTTATGCGCTCTCGCACATTTTCAATTTTCTGCAATTTTTCTAGCAATTGTGTGAAATTCCTTGCGGCCATTGGGCAACGGCAACAGCAGCAGCAGCAGACGTTGCATGTGGCAAGGACACAGACAGATTTGTTTGATGGTGTGCGTAAGTGAGCTCTTACACTGAAGGTAAATATTTTTAGATTTCTCTTAAAATATCTATTTCATGTCTTATACTCTTAAAACCTGGAAGTTTTACTAAAATGTGGTTTATATTTTTTATGATTTGGGGCTATAATTTACTGATTATTTCTCAGTGCATAGACTGTAAGCATTATGTGCCGCCGGACACTTTTAGGGCCACACAATTTAGAGACTTGGCTGGGCTAGATTTTCCATTCTCATTTTTTTCTGGAACGCTTCCTTTTTCAAGGATTTTTATTTTTTTTTTTTTGTATGTCATGGAAACCCGCCAACCATGTGGGCTTGTGTGCACTTATGTGTCACTGGCTGGGCTGGATTCGCTTTTTACATATGCTCGTCTGCTCGTTGCTGCTACAAGTTATGCCCGGAATTTCAAAGCTAGCCGGACTCTTGCTGGCCAGCAGCACATTGCTGGCATTTTGAGGCGTTGCTTGTGCGAGGCATTTTTGCAAGCCATATTTCATTGAATTTACATGCCCGATGCCGATGCCAATGCCAATGCCGTCGCCGTTGCTGTTGCTGTTGCCGCCCCTGTTTGTGTTGCAATTACCGTAAACTCTCCGAAGCTCTATCAGCGCTGATTTAGACCCCTCGAGCCCACCACTTAGCCCCCTGCTAGCCCAGCCTTCAAACAGTTCGCAGCAACCATTAATAAACGCACACATCAAAGTTGGCATTTGCCACATAAAATTCAATTTAGTGGCAGCCACAGCAAGAAAAAGGACATCCCCCGAGCCAAAAGCTAAGCCGAAATACACATTAGCATGAGTGCACTGCAAAAAAACCTGAAATGTATAGTTTTTCAATACCTTGCTGGTTTTACCCCAAGAACGCTCCAAGAACGTTTTACATTTCTACCGATGTTTTAAACGGTAATATATCCTAATATGTTTCTTAATCTGTTTCATCTTTTTCCTCTTAATAGAAAATTAAACGGTAAACCTTTCTCAATTCTAATGTAAAAATAAATCAAATATTTTCTAAACAGTCAATAATCCTGTATCAATAATGCTTTTTGCCTTTTTTACTTACGAAAACAGGCCATAACTTGGCTAATACTGATCTGATCCACGAATCTTGTACATTACTTATCTTTTATCTACGAGTACTATTTTTCTCATCATTCTTTAATGGTGCTTCTTTTCTAAATCGACTGTCAGAAGGCTAAAATATTTACTAAAGTGACTCCAAAGTTCCCCTCTGTCCTAACTTCCTCCCATAACTTGGCCAATGTACTATTAAAACATGATATACCTTCCCGTTCTTGTTTCTTTCAGTACCAATTTTTCGAAAATTTTCATCTTTTACAAAATATAGAAACAAATTGATTCTTTCAATTTTACTATATTAGGATGTATATCAAAGGACACTGAAGTTCTGTCTCAATAATGGTTTATCGTTTTTTTTTTAATCAGTTGAGAAATGAACGCAATGTTAGTATACTCCTTTTTTTTTTTGAGTAATCTTAACAAATATTTTGCTCTCCAGGATACTTTTTTATCTTTTCGTCATTCAATATAATTTCAAGGAGTACAGTTTTTAAATTATAATTTTCTTTACGTGCATTAAGGGGTTGGGGGTGCTGGTAAACAAGTTGGAGTGGAGTGGATAACAGACCAGGGGGAAATAGAAAGTTCACCCACTTAGATCCTGCACTCGAAACTGAAATCAAAATAAATGTCAACGTTGCTGTCACACAAAGCCGAAGCAATTTCTCCCTCTACTCTCTACTTTCTCCTTTCTCGATTTCTCGAAGCTTTTTGGAGCACTGTTTTTTGGGGGAGGGATGAAGTTTTTTGACTTCCTTAATGACAGAGTGCGGTGACGGTGGCTTCCCTGCATCAAGATGATGATGATGATAATGACGTTGTCGATCACAATGTGGCAAGGACGTTGATGATGCAATTTTGCCGAAGTCGGGTGGCTACCAAGGGCGGGTGGTGGTGATGTACCATCCCATGCCATGGCATGCCACCACCACCCATTGTTCGTTTTGTTAATCTAGCAAAATTGATAAGGTGTGAAATTCTTGATTTTATTTTCTGCGTTGTGCGCTCGAAAATGTTTTTCTTTCTTCGGCCCACGTTTCAGGTTTTCCTTTCGTTTTTGATTTTCCTCCCCTCCTGGTTATTGTTGGGGTTTTCCGGGGCTCACCGTTTTTCTTTTTTGGACGCCCTTTGATGTTCTTTGATGAGGTGTTTGTTTAGTTTTTCCTACGTTGCGAGCCTTAGTTTTTTTTTTTTTACGTTTTTTGATGTTCTGTCAGTCTAAACGCAATTTGGATATGATTCACAGGCCAAAACAAGAAGTCGTCGAGCGTTGAGCGTCGAGCCCAACCTGTCTATCACGCTTTTTTCCATTTACATTTTAAACGAAATTTAATCCAGTTTGCGGCAACAGAGCAACACCTTTTGCCATTGCACGCTTTATTATTTGCTTTGAAATTTAAATAAGCAAGGAAATTGACTTTGCAACGCCAGCAGGATCATAAAGAAAACACTCAGACAGCAGACTCTAACAATAGAGGACACTATTTTGGTTCCAAACCTAGTTCTAACTTGGATTTTCTTTTTATTGGTAATTAAGGATAAGAAAAGCTTTTCACAACCTTTACCCTTTTCACAAAAACTCTCTTTTTTTCCTAGAATATTATTCACATCTGTATATAAAGAGATTGGGGCATGGGAATCGTTTTTCCAAGCGTTTTTCCATGCGTTTTCCCTGGGCCCGGCTTAATTATTGGCCCGTCAATTGCACAAAGCGAAACGGAAACGGAAACCGAAACAGAAACAGAAACAGCCACTGAAATGGCTCAAACGCTGGCCAGGCATAAATTGATTTGTACCAACAGGGTCCAAACGAAAAAAAAAAAAGGACACACACCCAGACTCACACACAAAAAAGTGTGTGGTCAGTGATAGTTAAGTGGGTGGGAGCTGAACTTCCCGCCGGCAAAATCCAGTTAAAGTGCAACATGCCACACACTTGAAGCTCTGCATCCTCTTGGCATCACTTTGGCCAAATTCTCCATTGAATTCAATTCAATTCGATGCGATTCGATTCAATGGTTTCGAGTGGACGGGGTGATTCTGAAACTCACTAGCATTTGGGGATTGTTTAATTATTGGAAATTCTCGGTGCGAGCTCAAAGGATGCGCTCTCCCTTCCATCGGCCAGGGCAAGTGTGTGTTTGGATGGTTGCATTTGACTAATCAGTGCATTAGCAGTATTCGCCATTATGGCCAAATGCAAACTTCAAGTGAATGTTCCCTCAATCAGGTGTCCATATCCATTGCTTAGTGACCACAACATGAAGATGGCCGATAGCAATTAAGAATGCACTTGAAGAAATTAGTTTCAAGCATTAAAAACTGTATGATTATTTCGTGGCTTTTGAGAAAGTTTCTGGGTAAACAAACTAAGCTTTAAAAGTGTACTAACTATAATTTAATATTCATAATTGTTTCAGTGCAACTTGCCTTTGAAAGTAGCTGAATCTGAGGTGAATAGGATGGGGCAACCCAAAAACAGGAGATCAAAGTGCCCCTTTGACTCGCTCAAGTGGCCACGCAGATAATGCTCCGCACAAAGGACCCGTGGTCGTGTGATGGACGCCCATCCTAATCGCTTCAACGGCAGCAGCAGCAGCCCCATCCAGCAGCCAATTCAGGACACAACGCAGATTCCTGATTGCGCATACGCAGTGTGGTCGCCACGCTTGGGCTTATTTGCCGCACAGCTTTGCCCCACCAATTGATTTAAAATCCGCCTGATGGCAGCATAATTCGATGTCGGGCGGGGCTATAGTGCTGAGGGCCTGGGGGGCTGACATTTTGGCAAATTTCATTTGCGCTGCAAACTCAGTTAGTTGGCAATGTCGCGTCGCGGAAAGTTTCGCTCTCGTTGCATGTGCGTTAATGCTGGCAGTTAACTTAATTTTGTCACATTTACCCACACATTAAAACAACAGTGGAAGCGACAGCAAATGAGGCAGAGACTGAGCTTGCAGCAGCACCAACTAGTGGCAGCACCAACATGCAACTCGCAAGACAAACAATGCCACGCGAGACAAATAACTGATGGGCGGTGCCCGTGGCAGGTTGGAAAGTCTGCAGCACAGAGTTTGCAATGCACAGAGCTCATCAAAGCAACTCGCGAGGAAACGTAATTTGTAGTGCACTCAGGAATATTTTATAACAAATTTAAGAAAATTATAAAACTTTAAACGAAAACTTCGAAAGAATCATGCTAAAGCCAGTTAAGATCTTTACTTTTATGGCTCCTAATATTCCAAAGATACTTTCCCACCCTCGCCTATATAAAATATAGATTTTCTTCAAGTGATTACCTTGGCCATGGTTGAGGGGATTGCGGTGTTAAGTGAGTGAGTGATGCATGCCGCAGACGACGCAAGTTGAAGGAAAAATGTTAAATTACGTTGAAAACGCCGGGCATGAGAGTAATGGTAGGGGGCAAGCCTGTTGTGACTGGGTCTTCTATTTACATGCAAGTATGCTAGATGCGTGCTGTTTATTTATGATTGCATTCAGTCTTGCCACTCCATTACTCCCCTCGGTGGGCCCCTTAGTTGCTATTCAACCATTTCCTGATGGCATCATCTGCCGACCGCAGCCGTGCCTGCACTTAAAAGCGATTAAATATAAATCAATATAAAAATTTGCATATTGAATGC